ATATCATGCAAAAGTATTTTGATAAAGCACTTTGATCTCATTGCATCCTTGCAGCGATGTCATTGTAACAGATAGAATAGAGTAATAGAATAGCTGTAGATTAAAGATATTTTAATAGAACACATTATGAAAATGCTAGAATGAAACCAAATAGAATAGCATAGATTAAAACTGGATATAATCTATTATGATATATTGGATGAGAATAGATAAGAACAGAAAAGAAAAATAAGAGTAGAATAGAAAATAATCAGTGGAATAGATTAAAATAGAACAATCATAATAGAATGGATAGATTCCAGTAGAATAGAATGGTAACACTTTAAAATAAGTTTGCATTTATTAAAATTAGTTAACGACATTAGTTAACATGAACTAACAATGAAAATATAATGCATTGATCAATTTTAATTTTAGTTAGTTACTAATATATTGTTAAAATAAAAACGTTATTATTTAATGGACCTAAGTTAACATGACCAGTTGTATTTTTACTAAATAACATTAATAATGATGAGTAATACATTTGTTACAGTTTGCTTTGTGAATGTTACTTAATGCATTAAATAATGTATCTTATTGTAAAATGTTAGCAATAATTATTTTAGAAACAGATGATAATAAGAGTAGAATAGAAAACAATCAGTGGAATAGATTAGAACATTCCTAATAGAATGGATAGATTACAGTATAGAATGGAAACACTTTCAAATAAGTTTCCATTTATTAAAAGTAGTTAACTACATGCTAACTACATTAGTTAACATGAACTAACAATGAAAATATAAAGCATTTATCCATTCTAGTTCCTGTTCATTTCAACATTTACTAATATATTGTTAAAATAAAACCGTAATAATATTTAATGGACCTAAGTTAACATGGTCTGACAATGAACAGTTGTATTTTAACTAAACATTAATACTGAGCAATAGATTTGTTACAGTTTGCTTTGTTAATGTTAGTTAATGCATTTACTAACGTTAACTAATGGGACATTAATGTAAAGTTTTAGCAATAATTAATTTTAGAAACAGATGATAATAAGAGTAGAATAGAAAATAATCAGTGAAATAGATTAGAACAATCATAATAGAATGGATAGATTGCAGTATATTTACAGTAGCCTATTCTTTTTTGTTGTTGTTGTTAGAAACAGAGTATTATTAGTAGACTGCTCCAAATAAGATTTTGCAGTGCATTCCAAACACACATACTTTAATATTTGGCGTCCGATCCATTACCTCCACCTGCTGATCCCGACGTTGGAGGATCCGGCGAACCAGGGGTCGAGGATGTACACACAGCGGACACTGTGCGCTCCCTGGATAGAGTCTCCGAGTGAAGGATTGTCGTGGAGCCGCAAGCCCTTCCTGAACCAGTGGACCGTATTTACCACCATTACTCCACTTCAAGTCCCTTCAACCGTTTGTAGTATGCTGGGGTGATTCGATATAGACCTCCTTTCGCGTTGCCTTACTACACACTCCAAAGAAGAAACTGCTTTCAAAAGCGTAAAAAACGACAAGTTATCTAATAAAGTCACTATGTATGCGCGTTCAAATGATTATGGATTATGTCCGGCAAAAAAATAATTAGCCTTGCTCTAACAAAACACTTTCCATCTTCACGTCTAATGATTTGGAACACGACCACAGTTGAAGCATTGGGGCGCACGCTGGCTACCCGCGCAACAGCCGGATACACGACCGGCTTTAGGACCAGGACGCAACGCAAAGTACACTTCCCTGTTGTATAACTTGTTTTTCTGAATTACCCAAAATAATCAACAACACTGTACATGTTTTATATCTCGCCTGTGAAGCAAGTTGATCTGTGAGTTGACTTCAATCTCAATGCGCGCAGTCTTCCAGCTGAAGTCAATTCGGAGACGAGCGAGCCCTAAATCAGCGCGATTATGTAAATATTAATATTGGCCCCGCGTTACTGGCAGCTGTCGCAAAATAAAGCAATATCTCATATGAGGTATTCAGCGTGTCTTGGTTGTTTCCTTCAACGTTGTGTCCACTTGTGAATATTTTCCCACGGAGAAGATTCCACAGACTTTCAGCAATGCAATGCAATCGGTAGACTAAACTCCACCTAGATGAGTGCGCACATGAAATAGCGCGTTCTGTTTGGTCAAGCCCTAGTGTGACGTAGTTGAGCCTCAGTCACGTTCCTTTGGTGTGATTATCTAACACACTAACCAGTTATACTTTATAAAATGCTGTTCATTACATATCGTGAATGAACATCAGTCTTGATGTTGTTTATGTTAATATGCACGTAGCCTATGTGCATATAATTACAATGCTGTTGTTTATCAAAAATATTAATGAAATTGTAAACATTATTAAAAATTGATGTATGTGCAAACTGCATATATAAACATTGCAAGGTTTGATTTATACGTTGCAACCCCATAAAGACCATCAAGGACTGTGGTGTTCAGTCCTCGAAGCTGATTGGCTGGAGCTGCAGTACCCGGATAGGCACATGAGAAGCGACATGAGCAAACTCGTGTCAGTGCGCTGTGTTTTCCTGAAGAAAGATGGCACTGTTGAGACGTGCTGCTAAAATCGCAAGAATTGTTGGCAGGTATTTATTTTCTGGACTTATTTTGGCGTTCTTTACACAATAGAAAGCACCAGTTATCTGCATGAATACAATTCTGGTCATATTCCTTGCATCTCTTATGTCACTTTTAGCAAAATTGCATTTTGTTGACCATTATGCTATTTAACATAATATATATTTACTTATACTGCAAATGACAAAATAATAATGGTCTTTTAAATATGTTTACATACCCCTTTGGTTCTTTTAATATCACGTGTTGCCTTATCAAGCATCAGTGACTCTTTGTCCCTGGTTTGTTTACAAACCACTTTAGAATAAATGCTGGTCATGTGATGTAGTCAATTATGCTGAAAAGAAAATGATGTAAGCAAATAATTTGAAATCGTGTTTAGATGCTGCCTCATTAAGAAGGAGTTCGTAGATCCACATTCCTAGATGTCAAGTATGCATATGTTTAATTGATTTAAAATACTGCAATAACATATTGCTACCACTTGTATTTATAAGAATACTTATATTTCACCATCATTTTTCTTTCTATGCAACATAATTTATGTATGCATGTTGCTGTTTCAGCCAAATAGTAGCTTGAAAGATGTCTGAATGTGTGAGGTTACTTATGCAATTCATTGCCAACCATAAAACATGAACCGTAGTATTTGTATAACCAAATTAAACTTTCCAGATGAGGAATGAATCTGGAGATCTAGACTTAATTACACATTTCTTATTCATACTTGTTCTTTTTGTCCTAATATAACCGTAATGGTCTCTGTGTTTCCATAAGATGGATTTTTTATGTGAGTTATACATAAGCACCAAATACATTGTCGCCTTTGTGTTTCCAGGCAACAAGCAATGATGGAAGAACATGTGAAGGAGAAATCTTAATTAAGAAGAACAACCTCTGCTGCGGATTGATTTATTCACAGGCACTGCATATCTAAGGTAATTAATCAAATATGTAGAATTGATGAAATTTGAATGAAAGCATAATTGTGCTTATTATAGCAGATATTGAATGTCAGTTGAATCAGTGCCTTTTAAAACACTTTAGTACTAATAGAATTAGTTTATTTCTGTTGAAAAAATATTGTCCATATTACTGATTTAATGAACAGGAAATTAGATAAGGATCAGAGTGGTTTTAATAAGAATATTAGACAGTGTTACATTGGATGTAACCGAGGCACAATGTAGATTTTTGATAGAGAAAGCACTCGTTTTTGATACGTTTTTTTTTGTAATAAGCATCTTTATTCATAAAAAGGGAATGATGGTTATAAACAGCATGTTTTTTCTGCTGTGAACACTGAACAGTCAAGTGGAAATCACAGGTTCAGTTATATAATCTTCCTGCCAAAATAATTTGCCCCCATATTCACAGAATAAAGGCTATTACTCAGTATCACATAGAGAGGGCGCCAGATACGCAACAATTTTCCATCAATGCGCCAAATGTCGCCTTCTATTCGTATTAATAATGAGCTTGATAAGAAGACTTCTCACGTCAAAACAGTTAGTTTCTTTTCACGCTAGAACACTTGCATAATTAAACACACAAAGCCTTTAGACGTTTTTAAATCTATTCTTGTACAGCGTGCTTGTTTCATTCCAGAACTTTTTTGACAATTCTGAAGTAAATGCCTGAGTTAAATTTGAGATGGATAGAGACAGATGAAAGGTGCAGAAGCTGTTCAAGCGATTGCTTTGATCTACAAATTTCAGAATCATCGCGTAAACATCCTCCGGCTAGAGAAGCATGTCGAGTTAGTAAGAGAGAAGTGTGTTAAAAAGAGATTATGAGGTTATAATCTTGTTCCATATACAATTATATATCATAGAATAATGATTTATAATTTTATAATATTATAACAATATAAATAATAATAATATAATTAATAAAGATTCATTTGTATTCATGTCGCCTGTTTAATTATTGGTTTGTATAAATATGCAGATACTGATATTTTTCAATCAAAATCTGCATTTTGCTCATATATGTGATTTTTAAGGATAACCGTTTTAAAATTTGAAAGACACTACTAGTATGAGACTATTTTTCTGATTGATTTTACGTTTTGAATGTGAAAAAGGCACCCATGTACTTTTGGAGTCTGTTGATTTGTTCATAAGTTATTTCAATTTGCATAGTCCCTCCCTCCTTGAGAGTGATGGTGATTTTTAAGGATAACCGTTTTAAAATTTGAAAGACACTACTGAGACTATTTTTCTGATTGATTTTACGTTTTGAAAGTGAAAAAGGCACCCATGTACTTTTGGAGTCTGTTGATTTGTTCATAAGTTATTTCAATTTGCATAGTCCCTCCCTCCTTGAGAGTGATGTATGTATAGCCCCCTCCTCCTATGAGTGCTTTATTTGCATAGCTCCTCCCCAGATGAGTGGTTTTGCAGTGAATGATGCAGTGGTTGGTGAAGGCGTTCTGAGCTCTCGAATTACGCAGCCAAAGTTGGGAGCAGAGGCGCGCGTTGGAGATATATATATTTTCTTCTGGTGATTTACCAAAACACTAAACGAATTGTCACTGCGCGCGCTTGTAGATTGTGTTTGCGCGTGAAATTTGTTGGCAATACATTCCTCTACTGCTCCGAGGACAGGGCGCGCCACAGGAACGCGCTTTGGGGTTTCTTTAAATTATCAGGCATAAGCCTAACATTATGAGGTGCAGCCATGGCAGGCAAGGGTAAGACAGCTGCGAGGACGCTGGAGGATTTAACGCTCGATTCCGGTTATGGTGGAGCGGCGGATTCCTTCAGGTCGTCCAGCGTGTCGCTCTGTTGCTCGGACACGCATCTGTCGTATGCACATGGGGGCAACTGCTGGCATCTGACTGAATCAATGCACAGCAGACACAACAGTTTGGACACGGTCAACACAGTCCTGGCGGAAGACACGGAGATCCTGGAGTGCTCGGGCCAGTGCGCCAAACTGCCCGAGCTGGAGGAGGACGTGCCGTGGAGTCTTGGAGAGGTGGAAGGCGCGCTGCGCAAAGACGAGGAGCTGTGCGTGGGGAACGCGTCGCGGGAGATCCTGGCCAAGCTCTCCGCGTTGGTCAGCCGCGCGCTGGTGAGGATCGCCCGGGAGGCGCAGCGCCTGAGTCTGCGTTACGCCAGATGCACCAAGCACGAGATCCAGAGCGCCATCAAGATGGTCCTCTCGTGGACCATCTCCGTAAACTGCATCACTGCGGCGCTCAGCGCGCTGTCGCTATACAACATGAACACGGGCGATAAGTTCAGCCGGGGCAAGTCTGCCAGATGCGGACTCGTCTTCTCCGTCGGGAAGTTCTTCGGGTGGATGGTGGATAGCCGGGTGGCCCTGCGCATCCACGAGCACGCGGCGATCTACCTGAGCGCCTGTATGGAGAGCCTGTTCCGAGAGGTGTTCAGCCGGGTGCAGAGGAGCGCGCTGGTGGAGAAGGAGAACGGAGTGCCAAAGTTTTCCGTGGAGACCCTGGAACAGGCCATAAATAACGATTCGGAGCTGTGGGGTCTTTTGCAGCCGTATCATCATCTCATTTGTGGCAAGAACGCAAGCGGTAAATGTTTACACTTTTTTTAGGGTTACACTTTATGTAAGGTGTATGGCGTTGTTATAGTGTAATTACATAAATAAATAATATTAACTACATGTACTTACTATAGGGTTACGTTTAGGATTAGTTTCTTGTTATTATACATAATTTAGTAAGTACGTGTAATGTAACTGGTTAACCTTAAAATTAACTTTTACCTATTTTAGTCTCAATAATAGTCAACCTGAATATTTAGAACGTGCTTTTTATTTATTTAACCAAATCATGCACTTTTTGTCATTGATTCATGCTGGTTTTATGATGCAGTTGCATTGAAATGCACCTGAGCTCAGTCACAACCCTGTTTTGAGGTCAGTCAGCAGTTGTTCTACCCATCTACCTACTTACCTCCTACTTACCTTCTTTTTTTGATAACACAATTGAAAGTGTGTTTTATAATAGCTGCCAACATGCACTCTTAAAATACTTTACCAGCATCTAGAACATCCACGGAACCTTTCCATTGCACAAAAGAAACAATGGTTCTTAAAAACTGTTTGGTGAACGGTTCTTTGTGCAACCCAGATCGGTTCTTATGTGGCATCACTGTGAAAACCCCCTTTTGGAATCTTTATTTAACCAGATTCCTGCACCTCTTCGGTTGGTAACATTGTGTATGATCCATAAATCCAGCTTCATAAATTATGTCTGCTTCTCTGCTGCACTTTTGACTTATTTATTTCTCTGGGAGATAAATAACTTCTGTGGGAGGACATGAGTGAGTCCCAGCAGAATGTTTGTTTTCAGACTTCTTATTCATTTAGACACTGTAACAGGTGCAAACACAATGGGAAGGGCGTCACACTGTGTGCCGCAGTACCTTTTCCCTCCACCTGTTGAAACTCGATTTTGGTTTCTGCCATGAGGGGCTTATTTTGATGACATAATCAAGGAGCCTTATTAGTAACATTTAAGGTTGCTATCCATTTCTGAATGTGATTAACAACCACGCAGTGAGCGATCAGTTTGGGCTAGGTCTGCTTTATGGTTGAGTCAGATTCCAGCAAGCCATAAAGATTCCTACAATAAAATTCCACTCTTTGCTATTCATGACACAGCTCTAGGAGTTGACACACTTTGCATTATCACATGCCTGTGCTTTCTCTGGAAATCTGATGTGATGGACAGTTGGAGAGTATACCAAAAGATCTACAGAACAGAACTGTATGTCTGTATTCTCATTAACACGGTTTGTGGCAATAATCTGCTTTGGCCACTCTATAAACACCCCTTTTATATGCAATAGAGCAGGTAACATACATCTTTATGCCCATTAGGGCAGGATTTTCTTTATGCAGATGCTTTTTAGCTGCAGAAAATGATCTTTTACTCACTGTCATGTCATTACAAACTCATATAACTTTATTTTGTCTGTAGAACACAAAAGAAGAAATTTTGGAGAATGTAACAGTTGTTCTTTTTCATGCAATTACAATGATTGGAGACTGAAGATTTTAAGATAAAAAATTAGGCTAGTGCATAACTAAGTATATGACTTAAAATGTTAGAGTAGACTTTTACATTGTATAAAAAAAAATCTATTGCAAATAAACATAATTTTTGAACATTATATATTCATCAAAGAATCTTTAAAAAATGTATCCTGTGTTCTACAAAAACATTAAACGCAACTGTTGTCAACATTAATGATAATAAGAAAAGATGAGCACTAAATCAGCATATTAGACAGATCATGTGACACTGAAAACTGATGCCTGAAATTCAGCTTTGCTGTCACAGTGATAAATGACTTTTTTTTAATTATATTAAAATAGAAAACAGTTATAATATTTCACAAAATTAGCATTTTACAGCTTTTTTGATCTTTTTACAGCTTTAAAATATTTTTGTATGAAATATTATTTTAAAAACATTTAAAAAAAAAATCTTACCAAACCCCAACTTTTTAACTGAAGTACATTTGAATTTATTTTATTAAAAATTCATTTCATTTAAATTTTTTAGTTTTCTAAAAAATTAAGGTCACTGATTTCTTTATGGTGCTTTTACATTTACATAGATGCATTAAAGCTCCAGTTTCCATTTATTGTAACTGAAGAATGTACTGGATGCTCTTTTCCATACAAATGTAATCTTTTTTGGAGTAATATGTTCCTTTAATATATTTTGGGTTTGTCCTTGATGGAAGGCCACTATTATATTGCAGAAATTGTAATGAAAAATTATGTGATCCAAAAAGTGCTTTGTTCTTTTTTTGTACTTGCCACCTTTCCAATGCCGAGATTTTGGCAGATTTTCTGCAAGGCCTCTTATGTTTTTTGCAGTGTCAAAATGGCCTTAGATGGTTCAATTTTGGAGTAGATTGGTGTTGCTCTTAGCAGCTTTCAGAATACAGCAGTAATTGCAGCTCTGGTTGGTGATCAGCTCCTATATCTCGACCTTATACTAGACTAGAAGCAGTAAGACAACCCTTTTTTATATGAGCACGTCCAAGGTTGTTATGCATTGCTGATTTGTTGATTGATTGATATATGTTGGTTTCTCCTCTATGATTATCTCATTTTCTCCCTTTACCCTCATTCTTTTCATGCCCGGCTCCCTACACTTCTTGAATACAAGAATGGCTGTCCAACAGTTTATAGTTGCTTGAATAGTGGTTATGGTCAATTTTCCATGGCCCACCCAGCAGGGTTGATTATCGACACACGCAACTGACAGAGCGTTTACAGGAATAATGCGCTCTCTCGCTGCAAGAAAGAAGGAGAACAAAGAGTCAAAGTTAAAGCGAAAGATGTGGAGGGACAAATTGAAAAGATGACAATGTCGGAATTGGGAGGAGAGAGGTGATAAAGGTGAATAAAATGATACAAGAAGGGAAATGACTTGCGGTGAGACGGTGGAATGAGAAAGTTGGAAGAAAATTAGCGTGAAGACACCAATATTAGGATAAAAGAGCAAGAAGAATTGTTTATAGGGTTTTGTGTCTTATGTAGGAGGTGGAAACCCGAAAGGGCCGCGAAAAGAGCAGACTGTGAGTCCCAGATAAGCCAAGAAAATGTAATTGTAGTTCTTGATATGAAGGGGTTTTGTTGCCTCCCGCAAAATATTGCATCTCTTCAATTTCGTTCGGTGCACAAGCTGTCCCTCCACATCTATTATTGATGTATAGCTAATGTCGCTCCTCGATTTTGGTGTAATTTGTTTTTCATGAGTTGCTGACAGCAGTCGTTTCACTTGTTACTTGTCAAGCACATATAGGCTACACGTCAGTCAGGAAATGTGTCCCCTAAGATGGCTGAAAAGTGAGAGGTAGTTTCTCCGCCTAAATGTGCTTGTGAAATGTTGCTTCGGGGTGTTTTGAACTCGATACCAATGCAACAGATGGTCAGCTGGCTCCAGTGAAGCTTGTGAAGTCTTTGATGTGTCATGTTGGATGTATGGCAGATTTAGGACAGACAGAGCAATACAATAATAGTCAATTATGATGATTTAAAATGCAGTGAAGAGAACAGCCGGAGGCCCAACTTACTTTACTGAAGTGTTACCTCTTCCATGTGTCATTTTCAAAATCTATCAAAAGCATTTCTGTTATATATATCGGTAAGATTTTAGAAAGAAGTGTCTTATGCTCACCGAAGCTACATTTATGTGATCAAAAATACAGTAAATGCAGTAATATTGTGAAATAATTTTACAATTTAAAATAACCATTTTTTATTTCAATATATTTTAAAATGTTATTTATTTCTTTGATGTCAAAGCTGAATTTTCAGCAGTTCTTCAGTGTCACATGATCCTTCAGAAATTGCATAATATGCGAATTTGGTGCTCAAGAAAAATATCTGATTATCATGTTGCAAATAGTTCTGCTGGTTAATTAATGTTAATGTTTTTGTTGAAGCCATGATTCATTTGTTTTTCTGGATTCACAGAATTGAATGATAATATCTTTTTTTTGACTGGATTGTAAATTGATGCTTGAGAACCAGATCAGTTGTAAACAACAAATTATTCAGACCGGTTTTGTGAACCAGATCAACTGATTGATTGAAAAGACTGATTCAGAAGTCTGACTTTGAAATAAAGTGCACAAGATAATTTTATGGTGCTTGTTAATGTTTTTGTTGAAGCCATGATTCATTTGTTTTTCTGGATTCACAGAATTGAATGATAATATCTTTTTTTTGACTGGATTGTAAATTGATGCTTGAGAACCAGATCAGTTGTAAACAACAAATTATTCAGACCGGTTTTGTGAACCAGATCAACTGATCGATTGAAAAGACTGATTCAGAAGTCTGACTTTGAAATAAAGTGCACAAGATAATTTTATGGTGCTTTTGTAGTAGAGCCCGACCGATATATCGTTTAGCCGATATAAGCCTGTCACCGATATATCGGTATCGGTGAATATGCCGCTGATACGCCGCCGATATGAAAATTTTTATGTTGAGCATATAACGCAGATAAAATTCTTGAAATGGTGTAATTACTTAGTTTGCTCCATTGTTTGCTACTGGCGACCTGGATGAAACGCTTTAAAGCTTAAGTCTATGGAAAACCATTGAAACTTTGAACGACCATATCTCCGTAAAGGCGCGGCGGATCCGCACCAAATTCGGGGGATCCCTTCAGCTCGAGGAACCCTCTAGAACGCGAATCGAGTGTACGTCTCGAGGCCCTCTTTCAAATGAGACCACCCCCGCGTCGATAGCCCCCGGGGTTCGGGAGTTATGGGTGGTTAAATTTGCGGTCCGGCACCGACCGATCTAGCGATCCCGGGGGGTTACCGCGCGTGGAGGGTGGCGTTCGAGAGGGCTCCTCGACAGCGCATCTCATCTGCACTACTGCACACTGCGATACAAGACTTTTGCTCGGGTTTCGGGACAGTCAACAGAATTGTCACTTGCCTGATCAAGTCATTGTTGCATCGTCACAAAACTGTATCAGTTGCACATCTTTTTAAGTTTAAGCCATTCGATACTCGCGTGCTCCAAAGGTGG